CCCTCAGCAGCCGCCTGAGCCGCGTTGTTCAGCTCTTACCCCAGCCAGGGTTATCTTCGTTGTTGCAGTAATTGACCCCTTCAGGTAAAGGAAACATATAGTGACCACATCCACAGATCTCAATCATGTGATTTTGGAAACAGGAGCGCAGGCAAGCCTGAAAAAAGGGAAGAGGGAGCTGTGTAGACATGGGCTGGACCCTTCCCAGCAGAAGGGGACTCGGTGCCTGCTCCCAGGCACAAACTGCCCATTTCTTGACTATTTCAGGGCTTCATGGAAGTCATACGGAGTTTCCAGAACGGAACAAAAATATTCTGTTACACCCATAGACCCTGCTGTTGTCTCCAGGCTTTACACAACATACGGACAAAGGGCTGGCTTCCACTTTAAAGACAGGACTCTAAAAATACTTCAACATAAAGAGCAGGTTTTAGAAACCTGAATTATCTTATCTGTGCATCTGCTTCTCCCCTTGAAAGGATTGCGGCCGTGGCTGCGGGGCAGCTCTGCCCTTAGCTCAGTGAGGCGTGAAGTTAATAACCCGGGACTGGAGAGGGATTCTGGATGGAACGGTGCACAAGGCAATAACAAAGTCTATGAAAAGATAATTAAATTTAACAGCTCCAGCTAAGTAGATCAGCTGGAGAATTTCTGTGTGATCCGAAACGCTTACAGAGCTCGCTGCAGGCAGGGAGCGACGGCAGGGACTGGTTTTGTTGAGAGGTCTCTGAAGTGGTGGGGATTACATGGACATAGAACCCCAGTCAGCATTTAGCAACGTTTAAGAAATAATGCAATCATTTCAAGTATTTGCTGAAACACTATACAGGCATCTTAAAAAGAAAAGTGGTCCAACTGTTATGGTTATATAAAAGCAGAAATATAAAATCCCCTGCTAGACCAAAGCTCTCCCACTTCTCCAGGGTGTATTCGTTTTGTGAATAGCCCCAAAATGGTTTTGATGTTTCCTGGGTTGCCAGATCTGAGCCTCTGGGAAGGCTTCTCCCCCTGTTACAGCCTGTTACAAATTAACCTGCGCCTAACGCTTACACTCGATTTTTCTGCATTCAAGGGTTGGAAACTCTCGACTTTCTCATCCCAGTTTTGAAGTGAAGAAAAGGCAGAGGTCTGTCTATATTTCCTACACAGAACAAGCAGGCACGGTCAGGGTGAGAAATGACTCAATTCCCTTGAAGAGGATTAAAGAGGAGCGCTCAGCAGAGGGATCCCTGCAGCGTGTTCCTCTCCTGGCAGGGATAAACAGACTCGTGAGCACAAACCAGGGGCTGGCTCAAACCCAGAGCACAGACTTCTGCAGGCGGCTTTTACCCTCCCAGAGCACCAGGAGCCAGCCCCGCTCAGGAAAAGTGTCACATTAGTGTCACATCAATGTCCCTGCTGGCTCCTGCTGCGGGATGGTGCCCGCGGCTGCTGGGGGCGGGGGAGCTGCGG